GCTGGCGTACTGCTTCTGTAGGCAAGAATTTTTTTTTTAACAAATTGAATTTAATACCGGGATTGAAACATGCATCCAATGAAGTATCCTTCTGAAACTTTGGCTTGTTCCGCTCAAGACACCATGTGAAATGAGTAAGATGCATGATTTTTTGTTTTATCCACTTACCTGTAAAAGTATCATGAAGTCTTTCCGGAAAAGTTACGAATGGTGAAGAGAAATGGAAACAGCGAATTTCAGATTTTAAATGTTTGTTCTTTTTTCCCGTTTTGAGAACATATACTGTAACGGTCTTCATAATCGTTCAGTAGCTTACTGGAACATTATCCGGGGAAGATTTAAAAGATTGAATTCGGAAAGCTGACAGACCTTGTCGATCATATTAAGAAAGCAGTGATATTTTTTCCCGTTTTTTTTTTTTTTTTAATTCTTTCACCTGTCGTTGATGAACACATGGCCAGCAGCTTTTTGCTGACAGCTTAACACTTATCAATCTTTTAGCATCCTGGAAATCTCCGAATGAACTTCCGTAGTGAGGAAAATGGCAAGAGATGGCTTAGAGAGCCTACGATGACCGCACCGGTACTCTTACCGCACTGTTTATGACATGTTGTCGAGAAAGTTAGTTTTGATTTTTTCGGTAAGCTTTGCAATGAATGTATAATATAACAGCTCAACCAATAATTGGAATATAATTCTCACAACTGAATTACATTGTTGTTGTGGAGATCAGAAGGTTGACTGCGTCGGAAGAAGATAATGATATACGTCAGCAAAGGTAAAATAGAGTGTTCTGACCTCGTGAGGTTAGAACGTATATAGAGGGAGCTTGTTTACCACAATCCAAGAAGTCAAACCGATTGACCCCAAAGATGACCTTTACAACATTTAAACAAAGGTGTCTAAGATTATTAAAGTAATATATAGCGGTATGTATACAAAGAGCAAAGAGCTGCTTGTAAAATCGAAGAAAGCATAATATAGTTACAGTACTACACAACAGCATGCCCGATCTTCACAATATTAGGACAAGGCGTAAAGAACAGCACAGTTGACTTCATAAAATTCAAAACTCGATATATTCAAGGTGTGAAAAATTTCTCGGTTTTCTGACACGCGTAGCGATTTAAAATTTCTTGATATAATATAGTAGTAGCTAGAGTCGTAAAGTTGGACAATTGTAGGAAGAACAAACGATGACTGTTTTGCATTTCTGTATAGAACGAGTTTTCTTTCCTAAAGTTGTTTTCTTGGGCTGCGATTGTTGAAGTATTAAAAGCCATGTATTTTTATTAGTGATTATCACTACTATGATTTTAGAAAGGGATAATTATCAACATGTCGTTTTTTATCCTTTTCAAATCGCATAACAACGTATATTTTAACATCGCTCAGAACATGAGAGAAGTCTGAGGTATCCCGAGATTTTATTCATAAACTCCAAGGTACACATTACTTATGAATGAATAAAATAACTTTGTAACCAAATTTGTATATCGCATCTTTGATACTATTAGAAAAGCATACCAGTTAATGGACACTACAGAACACCGTTAATGTATCAGCTTACCTACGTAGCTACGTTCTTGTGTTTCTCCTTGGTTGAAGAAAAATATTATCAGATTATCAATGAAACTTGTTTCCAAAAGATATATGACAGTGCTAAAATTGCAAAAATGCAGAAAATCCTTCAGTTCGATCTGACGTATCATTTATTTATCTCATTCATTTTTTTGCATTCTTGAAAAAAATCTCTGTAACCAGTAATTAAGTTGCCGACATGAAGTACTGGAGATGCGCTATTTGTCACAATGCTAAGAAAGTGACAGAAACTGAAAAGATAAACTGTTATAGGAGATACAAATTAAGTCGGTTCAATTATGCTTACCGATAGCTGACCAAAATTGAACCTAGAGGGGTTTAGAAATTTTGAATAAAAATGCATACCTAGTTCAAATATTTTATTTTTTGATGGAATATCAACATAATTTCGACACTATTGATTGAATTTTTCGTGATTGTAAATTGATACTGAGTGATGGCCATTCAAAATAACAGTTTTTTCAATGGTGAAATGGTAGTGATCAAAATGAATGGATGAGAACCTAGCAATCAACAAACAAAATTGCATTTTTTGTGGTCAAGAGGTTAAAAGGAAAAAATGTGAACTTGCAGATTGTGGCATATAGAAAATAAGAATTGGACAATCAAAAACCTGGACTGAAAGGCAACTGGATAAAATTTGAAAACAAAACAGCAAAAAGAAGAAATGTATGCGAAACACTGAGTAGTGGAAATTGACGTGCTTATAGCAATGCTAAAAATTTCAGAAGTTTTTAAAGACGACGCATTTTTTTTCGATCCTAAACAATTTAAATAATTTCATTTTAAAAACCGCTTTAAAGTATTTCTTGACAAACAAAACCGATCAACCTCATTTTGAACTGTTTAGTTGATGGCATATTAGATGTTGCGGCAATTCTAATTTTCTGCTGGTAATGTTTTCGTTTTCTACAAGCTAGATTGTTCCAGAAGTAACTCACTTTCATAAATTTATTCTCAACCATGTCTAGCCATTGCTGAATGAATAAAAGATTAAATAGCTATTCAAATGCCTTTTTTCAAACGCTGTTTCATTTGAAGATATCTAAGAAAAAGGCGAACAGAAGCAAAACTGATGATTCTGGTGCTAAAAAAAGCTCAAAGAAGACTTGAAATGAATTAATTCCGATACCATTTGATCTCGAGTTTTGCTTCAAATACAGCAGCATTAAGTGCCATAAAATGAAATTGAAATGCTAGACAGTATTTCAATTTGAAAACAGACATGACTATACCTGATATGTTAGATATGACAATATTCTCATGAAATGGAGAAGGCTTGTAAAATGGATGAATCAACAAACCGGAAGGTCTATTTAAATGTTAAATTACTATATTTCTTGGAAAGAACTTTTATTGCTCACGAAAGTGTGATATGGGATGGCATGATCTTTGAATCTTTTTCAAAAAAATCCTTTTTGTCGAATAAACCAAGATTTCAATTGAATATTAATGTCACAAATTAAAAATGCATACTCCTAATGCATGCTTGCATTTGTTCAAAATAGGTATTTCCAACATCGGAAGTGGCAACCAAAAATGTCGAAAAGAATGGTAAATTTTGTGAAAAGTCTGTGCATAAATGAAATATCACGTACAGTTAATTTTTCGACTCATTTAGGGGATAATACTTTTAGTTGGTTAAAATTCTACTATTATTAGAAATCAAAAGATTCTACAAATAAGTTGACATATAGTTTCGTACTTTTTTTCAATGAACACAAAAAATCGAAAAGAATTACACAAACCGAGGAGCATTAATTTTTAGTGTTGAAAGTTAATTTAACTTTTTAATATTTAAAGAAGGAATGGGTATTGCACAGCAAAAACGATGTTCATCAACCAACATTTTATTTCTAAATATATCTCAGGTACCACTACAGGAACTTTTTAACCTACTTGTACTGCCAAAATAGCAATGGGAAAATGTTATCCTATTTGCAACCGAAGATAGCTCGTCAAATGACATTAGTTTTAATTGATTAGCAGAGCTTCACTGTAACTGTCGATTTATATTATCGCTTAAATTAATCGTTGTTATTTGTTACTTTGAATAGATATATGGCAGTAAACTCAAACCGAATTCATTACTAATAGTCAGTCAAGATTTTATTATGATTCATTATTATTTTGTTTTATTACCGCTCCACTTACCAAAATCTCTTTTCCAGCAAAGTGATGAAGAAATTTAAGTAAAATGCATCTCAAAAAATCTCATTTCTGTCAATACAAACGAAAAGTATCACAGTTCTTACATTACTAAAAAATAAAAGTAGATTATATTTGAAATTTCTAAGTCTTTCTCATCAAAGAAAAACCGTTCCAAATAAGTACATATATGTGATCAGAAGATCTGTACCAAAAAAGCTTGATAAAATGAATATCCGCTCACACTGCAGTTAATAGGTTAATAGGCAGCCATTGTTTTAGTTGCCTATGTAAAACTTTATAATTAATTTGACTTATGATCTGCTAGATATTGAATTTTACGAAATTCGTCATTTCTTTCGACTACCGAGTTTAATCTGCCATTCAAAAGGAAACTCAGATATTGTGTTAATATTTTGGGAAAAATTTTTTGAGTAATTTCAAGAAAATTTGAACATATTTGAATTCTGTGAAATTTTTTAAATTATGCAAATTTTGAGAACTAAATTAATAAAAATGGTCGAACGAATAATTTGTAATTTATGAGTGAAATTAGGTACGAAACTTAATCTTAAAAAACGAAGATCTTATTTGCACAAAAATTGTTATTAAAAGTTCTGATGGTTATATCACTTCTTTTGAAAATAACAGCAGCTTTTCAAAACTCGCAGTTTGAATAATCGTTGTAAAGTAGCCCGGATAGTAACGGTAATCAATAACTTATATTGGATCAATGTAGTTCTCGGTAGTTAAAATTATTCAAAAATACATGTTATTTTTTTATAGTTATGAAATTTGAACTGTGAACGATTTTTTTTTTTTCTTTTTGTTGAATGAGCTGCTGGGAGTTGCCAATGTGCTTGTAACAGTACATAGAAACATATTCAGCATATTCAGATAGTTGAGCTTTCCACCAAAATTTAAGCCCGTAACAGACACAGATCTTAAGGTTCAACTAAAAATTGAAGCTTAACTTGACACGTTTACGCTCTCGTTCCAAGGTCTGATATATCATAGTGCGCATCTTAAAATTCGGTAGTATCTTCAGAATCAATCACGATTTCTCGGTAATATCATTCGAAAACAGCTAGAGTTTCTGTGTAAGCAAGAGAGAAGCATACGTTATTGGCTCAGTGTAATGTGAGCTAAAAATTGTTGTGGGAAGGAGAACTAAAGCTAGAGAATGTGTGAAATGTGTAAAGGTAACAACAGACTTCAACTTCTCAAAGCTAGTTAAAAGCCCCCTCCAAGTTGAATTCATTGTACATTCTGCTTGTGCCACGTTACACTACCAGTTCCTCTCTCGCTTATCTTCATTACGCGCTAACAATGGTGAGTTCTGCTATTTTCATCTATATCTCCCATTAATATTCTCAATTTTCATTAAAAAAATTAGCAATCCAAAAATCACATAACCCGCTGAAAATTTCAATTCAAGTCCAGTGGAATTTACTTGTTTTTTCAAATGATCCGAGTCGTACGATGAATTTATCTTTATTTTTTATCTGATCTGAAAGTTAAAGATGTTATGTGTATTAGCAGCATCATATGCTTATGGGAAAGGGGACATATGTTCAGGAAGATTGGCTTAGAGCCTTGAAAAGACTTCGTCATGTTAAGAATAATGAAGTAAATTGGTTTCTTATTATCATTTTTGTAGTCAAAAGCAGCGAAAAAGAAATCAAGCAAGAAGAAGTCCGGTTCAGAGGCAGCTCAGTTCGATCAAAAGACAATCCAGGAATTCAAAGAGGCATTTGGTATTATGGACCAAAACAAGGATGGCATAATTGACAAGCAAGACCTAAAAGATCTCTATGCGATGATGGGACAAATTGCATCAGATGCTCAAATTGATGCTATGATCAAGGAAGCTCCTGGGCCCATTAATTTCACTGTTTTTTTAACATTATTTGGAGAAAAATTAACAGGTAATTAATTAACTGGACTTCTAAACCTTAGTATGTTTCTAATTGCAACTCTACCAGATACTATCATAAATCTGGATATTATCATCGTACTATCCATTTAGTGATTTATTTTAATTCATCCGTTAATCAAGTTGCTCATGAACATGCGATCCAATCAGTTAATCATTGGTTCTCATCCATATTTCACAGTAATGAGTTCATTTTAAATAAGGTTCTCTTATCGCTTACTTACCAATCTCCAAATCTTGGTTCGCCAAATTTTCTTCAGAGAATGATGATTTGATCGATACGCAGAAATTTGCTCAGTTATTATTCAATTTTCGCTTAATTAAACTTACACATTTACCAGTAAAAATCGTTTAACTGCTCCTATCATGTTCCAATTTTTCTTTTTTTTTGTAAAAAATCAGAAGTGAAATGCATTATTGATGTTTCAGCAAAATAACAGCTGTCCGATGTTTTCATTCTGTTAATATTTAACTTTTTCATTCATCATCAGCAACAATAGCAACGATAAAAAAGCGTAAATGATTACATATGATGACTTCAGGAACAGATCCAGAAGCAACGATAATCGGTGCATTCCAAATGTTTGATAAGAGAGATTGCGGCAAAATATCAGAAGAGGAGCTACTGAAAATTTTGCAAAACAAACGCGGGGAACCTTTCGATGATGATGAAATCAAGGCGATGTATAAGGTATCATTCATGTTCTACTTAGCACGAAAAACTGTGACCACTTAATTTTTCCTTGCATTACCACTTTTGATCTTGACTTAACTTCCAATCCAATCTGATAGCAGATCTTTTATGAGTCAGTTCGAATTAGCTCATTACTGGTCAAGCAGCACTACGACCAATGACGTTTAGATCAAGTACGTGATCATTAGTGATGTTTTTTCTAATAAATTACTGGTGCTAGTCTAGCGCTGTCAACTATTTCCTTAACATCTAGAAACAACATGACAAGATTTCTGTTTTTCTTGTTTTCACATCATTCATTAAGGGCAAGCCACCAATTGAAAATGGCCAAGTTGATTACAAGGCATTTGCTCATTTGATAACAACGGGAGCTGCTGAAGAACTTGCCAAAGCATAACAACAGCAGCAACTGATGTATATCACCAAAATAAAGTTACGGGAGCGCCTTTTGTATGACTTTTACTCTTAACTTAAATAAATTGAAAAAAGATATAATTAATCGCTCCACGAAACATCATTAATTTCATCACTGTTTATTTACTTATCAAAATGTTCATGTTTAAGTAAGGGCGCTATTGCTGTCGGATTGCACACTTACGTTCCATTCCTTTCTTTTTCCAACTTCATTCACAATATTTCCTTTCTTATAACTTTTTTCGATTTCCATTAGATATTTTGTCCATGCCCACTTTTTTTCTATCAAACTCATTCGCTTCTAATGATTATGCTAGAAGCAGTGATCCAATAATTATTTCACATTGGGAATTTTGTTACCGCTCTTTCTGGAGTCGGCGGAAAAGTGCCCTTTTATATGTTCGGTAATGTTAAATAAAGGGAAATAAACGACAATAGTGATCCGGCAGCCTTCGCGCACAAACTTGATGAACGATTTTTTCTAGCCACCTATTCGCGTTTATTATGTAATGTTAGATTCAAACTTTAATTTTACTACTGCTTCTGTTCTACATCACTTTCTCCGAGATTTTCCATTTTGCGAATTGTATATTTTTAAATTAACGAAATAAAAGCTTTAAAATTTAAATGATACATATGAAATTGTGTAGTGGCTATTACAGCACACTAAAAAAAAAAAAAAGAAAATTCAACCGAGGAATGCTGCTGATGAAGTGAGAAATAAAACTTTGGAACAATATTCATTTATTAAAATGAACCATTATCATAGTCCGCCACAAAAAGTTGCGTTTTTTTTATTTTTCCTAATTAGCAGTTATCCAATTACCGAAACATACGTCATTTAGGCTTACCGTCGTTTTCTTGTCGTGTTAAAAACATAAAAAATAAGTGAAGTTAAGTCTGTATAATTTGATTGCACCGAAAAACATGATTAGAACATTTGAACTAACGAACAGCATTATTGGCAATCAAATAAACGGTACCGTAGCGGGCAGCAAGAATGTTTAGACATACAATAACGGCTCTCCATCAGAAATGACAAAGTGCTGGAATGTGGAATGGAAGAAACGGATGAATAAGGTTTGAAAGTGCGATGAAATAAAATCAGAAATTAAATGGAACCAGGAGATTGACGTGATCTGCCAAGAGCAAAATTTTGGGAATCAAGTGCTACTATCACTCATTGAGAATTGAAAGAATACTTAAGTGAACATAAAGAATAATTAAAATGCACAATGGGAGTAGTCTTCTTTTGTAGAACATTTGGTTTTCTAGTTGATTCATATCCTATAAACGATGTAAATTCAAGTATTCTTGAAATATTTGTCAAATCAATCTACCTCTTGAAATTCCATAAGACAATGTGACAAAGCCTAGGTTTATCAAAAACTGGAAATGATTGTACTCATCGTCATTGTGTTCTGTCATATCCATCTTTATACTTTACTCCTTGCAAGTAATGCAAAAGGCCATGAAAATGAGCGCATCCTTTCAAAACGTCTAAAAAGTTATTAAATGATCTTTTCCAGATAAGAAGTTAGTTTTTATACTTAGGGTATCAGAAATTTCATAAATTTAAATTAGTTTTTGAATAAATAATTGAAATGCGACATATTATCTAAACTGAACCAACGAATTTTATTAGGAAAAAAAAGTATTAGAGATTGCCAGGTTCTGAACTTTGCTAATGAAATAAAGTATGTCTAGTTACAAAGCCTGGAGCATATGGAACTAATTGAAATGTCAATGCATGCCTCACTACTGTGCTTGTCTTGCTTGAAAATTTTTGCAAATGATTAACGACTGTGGCATTTAAGAATACTTCTCCTCCATAACAGCTGGCAATATGGAACTTTATTTGGGAAATTATTTGTATGATCGTTCTAAAAAATCAACATTTCTAAAAAAAAAAAAAAATCAACACACACTCCAAGAGTCAAGTCAATTGCTTACAGGTAACTGTTTCCAGAGAAGCTGTAACTGTTACAGCTCTACTTTACAATTACAAAACAGAAAGTGACGATAGGTACCACATGAGAAGAACTGCTACACAAGCAAAGATAAAAACTGCTGTTGCAATTGAAAACCATTGAATGATCGTCATAGAATTATGACTACAATGAAGTTTGCATGAGAGACTGAGAGACAGAGCTAAGTGTTTAATATCCACACACTTACGTATTTAAAAAACAAATTCTAAAGAGTTATAATTTAGAAAGTTGACATTTTTCCGCCATTTAACTTACCATCATTCCAGGTGGCGATTAAAGGATTACACTAGTTTAGCACAGAACTAATTAGATTTGATAAAGAAACAGATAAAGTTTGCTATAGACATTTAGGGATGGATTATATTTAGATCCATGGGTTTCTGAAATATTGTAATGTTTTTATAGCTCTCCAACCAACTTCCAACCATATCAGATTCTTTTACAAATGATGGTTAACAATTTGTTTATATGATGAAAGGTATTTCACAAACATGTAAACTCTAGTCTTAAAATAAAGTGAAAGTTAGTCGATTTTCGAGTCACTTTTTTTTTTTGTTTTGAAAAACTCGCGAGTTCCTTATTCTTATTTTTTTTCTCGTTAAGGAACTTAGAAATAATTGCTTTAATAATTGTTGGCAATTATTAAAACAATTATTTCTAATAAATAAAAAATTCTAATCAATTATTTCGTAATAGCAATTATTAAAACAATTATTTCTTTTAATAATTGTTTGCAATTTCTCGCTTTCCTCCTAGCATATACATTTCGGTTCGAGATCGGTGCATTCATGATTTACGATCATTTCTTCTCATAATAATCCTATAACAATTTGTTTTCGCAGCTCTTACATATCCTCAGATCAGCAAGAAATGAAAACATTTGATGGTGAGAACTCTACATGCTACCGTAAAGCGATCTGAAAATAAATTTCCGATTCAAGTTTTTTGAAGAAAAGACTTTCCTCACTATTAAATATATTTGTAACTCTCCCACCAAGCAATCGTCCATTCCTTTTTTTCAAGTGAAACAGAAATGTGGAAAAAAAAAATTCTGTTGTTGAAAACATCATCCAAAAAAATTTTCAGAAAACTGAAAAACTGATGAATTTTTGATAAAAGGCTAAAACATTTTTTGCCGGTTTTCCAACCTTCTGATTGTCAAGAGGGGTACAGACGAAGGCATCTTTTCCCAATTAGAAGCAAATTAAATGCACTGCCAGTAGCGGAATCATGTGAAAGAAAATCATAGAAAAGGAATTTGAGGATAAGTCATAACATCGGAAGTTTTTGATGATTGATGCTGTACTGTAGAATCCTAGATGAATTCACTGCATCTCGAGTGCACAAACTGTTGGTGTTACATTTTCATTTAAACTACAATACTAAACATAATTTGAATTTCCTCAATTTCAAATCGAATGTGGTAAAGGAATTATTAACAACTATTACTTACTGATTAACGATAAAATCTGGTGTTATGTTAGAAAAATCCCATAGGATCTGTTCAATACAATTTTTCTAGAATAGTGTTGAAGGCAGAGAAGCACGATCATTGTATATCAACGGATCAAGCCCAGATATGAATCAGATGTGATAATCATTGCAGGGATAACATAAAACTTCCTGGAATTTCAGACTAATGACTTCTTCAGGTATCCAATATTGAATAATTTAAACGGGTATTTGTAAAATGATAACCAAACGACATAAAAAAAGATGATGTTATGTAGAACATCTGCTGATGCTGAGTATTTCACACCTTTTATTTCCCTCGTAATTAAAGGTAGCAGAACATTCAACGTAATCACAGGGACTTAAACTTTTTTTGAGATTAATAATGTTAAAGGAATAACCAGTATTTAATCGATATTTACGCAGAATCCCTGGTCTAAGACATTTTTAAATTATTGCAATGATAACAACTCGTAGCAGATATTGGTGATTGCAGTATCGATTTTCAACCGGCATTGTTCGATAACATCTGCTTCTTTCAGTTCAAGACAGTTAGCAGTTGAAAAGTTAGAAGTAACACTTAAAAACGGCTAAAAAGTACAAAACTATGATAGAAGTGGGAAGCGGCGAAGGAAGGGAAGTGATCAATTAAACCACAAAAATAAACAGGTTGCACTCTCAGGTCACCAAAAGAACGCGTGTCACTGATAACTGCAGTGATCACAACATTTTCAGATTAGAACATTTTTGATAGGAATGATATCAATCCAGACGTCAGGAGAGGTCTAGAAATTGTGTGGCAAAAATTCGCTATAAAAGTATTGGTTTTCTGGAAAATATTTCCCATCAAGTCCATTCTGCTGTAGATTTATAAAAATTTGCAGTAAGATACGCTTTTTAGTAAGCATTTTAAGACTAAAGTCTCGTTTGTAGATAGAGCTACATACACTACTTTTATAAAAAAGAAATGTATTTTGTACAGCAAAAACCACCTCTTGAAGTACAAATTTGCACAAAATTTGCACAAAGGCACAATACAAAAGAAAATATTCAGGATAGCTAAGAGTTCACAGGACGGAATACCAACTCTATTTCACAGTACAGCTTGGAAAAGAACCACATCATTGAAAATTGGCTCTACAACTTTACCAATCCAAAACACACAAACGCAAAAACTTAGAATAATCCCAAACTTGTAGAAAATTTGGAAGAAAAAAGCGCAGTTCTGAACAGCAATCTTAGTCAGTAGTTTGTGATAAACTAGCTTGATCTGAGGACCATCCCTCCAACTTACCTTTCGCCCAAAGCCAAAACATAAATGCGCCCAATATATAAGTGGTTGGTGTAAAAAAAAAACGGTATGCCATTCACTGCGCAACTAAAATGATTTCGAATCAAGTTTATTTTTTTACCTGATGAGAGATTGCCAACAATATTTTGGGAACTTGTTTCTAGAATAGAAAGTCAAACAAGCAAAAATTATAGCAAGAAGAAAGTTCCTGGTTTGCATTTCCTGTCGAAAACCTGGCAAACAGGGTAAGGAACTAAATTAGTTGAAACAATAGAAAAACTGCAAAATGACCTGATTTTTGACGATTGCACCAACAAATAACGGACTAATCATTACTGACAATGTAGCCAATGTGTTCGAGAGAGCCATAAGATGACTAGCATACTATAAAAACTTGGCTGATTTCCATTTTAAATTACTAAATTTCATTACACATTACAAAGAACAAAAAGTCTTTCAAAACTTATGCTTTTAGCTTTAAAAAGCTGGTTTAGCTTTAAGAAGCTAAACCGATGCGTGTCCACTGCCCGATTTTTCGAACATCTTTCTTCTTCGACTCGAAAACATAGCACGACTGAATTAAAAAAAAAAAAAGAAAATCTCTGCAGTTATCTGCGGAGCGATATCGAAACTGACGGAGAATACACTCCATGCAAAACCACTCAAACCAATAGAAATTATTAGTGAAATAAGCACCAACAAACTGAGACATTTTTGTTATTGTTAGCAACAAAAATGCTATTTCTCCCAATAATCCTGAAAATTGAATTCATGAGGAATCGTAATAATTCGGAATGATTTCAGGATAGCTAAAGAGCAGAAAGCCGTTAAGACGAACGAAATATAATAAAAATTTCCAACTAACCTAAACAATAAAAAACTTTTTTGGCTTTAATAGTGGATCACATACTCTGGCTCTTCTTAAGACAATCAACGAAACCACCAGTGGTCAGAAGCACAGTACCCATAACAAAATACGGTAGGGACGACAGAGATCCAGCCTGTCAACTCAAAAGCAATTTCACTTGAAAAGTTTTTTAATATCACAAAATGAAAGAAACATAAAAAAAGAGGCCATCTGTCAACATCTATCCGAAAATTACTTTTCCACGATCGTAACTAATCGAATTTTCCAGATTGTGGCAAACTTGTCAACATTATATAAAATCCCCAATTCTAACATACATGTGCAATAACTATGGCCCAAACAGCTTTACTTGAAAGAATGCGCCTCCATGGAACAACCTGAAATTCAGTGCTTTATATTTTTGAAATAAACAATTGCAGTGCTACTCATCCATACAGAAAATGTATTAAGTGTAACAGAACAGAACAGAACAAAAAAGTTGAGTCAGGAAATTTCGAAAGTTTGGTCTAAGAAAAACTGAAAGTGTAACTAAACCAAGAAATTGAAATACAGTATCACTTCATCAGTTACATTAATGATATGCAATGTTTTTTACAACACCAAGATGTTATTTTTATTCGTATGTTTCAGGATTTCGGTGTGACCATTTTTCCCTATTATCCGAACAACGGAATCCAGAATAATGCATACCACTTGTTGTCCATCTACAGTGGTGACAACGGTATTGTTGATTCATTTGGACGATAGTAATCGATAGATTTACCCTCACTGCATGAATATTGGGAAAATCTAAAAATGCTAGTAGCACGACAAGATATCGCCGCTGTAAATAACATTGCGGCAGGTGTACTTCCGATTCTAAAATTACAATGATGACCGAAGAGAAAAACATCTGAAGAATATTAGAAAGTTAAGAGGCCCGAAAATAACTCCTCGCTATTATCAGTCTATTATTAAAAGCCATTTAACTGTATGTCCTTGCATATGCGTGATTTCAAACAAAAAATTATGTCAACCTGAAAACTATTCCACCACAATATCATACTGATGATTTTTCACAACGCTCTCGAATTTGGTTCTTAAATAGAAAATCATGATTGATCCGAAAGTTTGATGCTAAATTCCAACCGAAATTGCGCAGGATGATCCCGGTAAACTGATTTTCGGTATTTTTTAGTTCCTACAGATATCCATAGCTGAAGTATATTTTAATTCACGAAAATCGATTTATTCAAAAAAAAAAACACTACCAAGAGGTATTTCAGGCATCTCATTCTTATTTGCGTAACTCACCAAGAATAATGCCATGCAAAGAATTCTTTCCATCATTGAAATCAAAATTTCAATTTACAAACAATATTACTGGCATACCATAGACAACAAATTCAATAGGTTACTTTGTGTGGATAGCTTCAAAAGCAGAACGATACGGTGCATTTAAAAGGTAATAGTTACTATTACGACATCAACGACATCAACCACAGCTGTTGTAATTTAAATGTTACAAGATGATACCTGAGGTTGAGTCGATCAGCCGTAGTTGATGTACCATAGCGTGATACGAACAACATACTGGTCCGAGTTGATTAGATTGCTGACGTGCTTAGAAAAGCGCTATCCTCGTTTCAATACTGTTCCTTTTATTATCGTTCCCTTAGAGAGTAAGCTTTCGCTACTAGACACCCACATTAACATACACAAGCTCACACATAACATAAGCAAGTGTCACTAACCAATCAATTTCGCTTTCATTACTGTCACAGTTGTTCATCGTGAAGACTCGACGTAACTAGCATTTGAGCTTAGTTAATTGTGATGGATGGCATCAAAAACAAAATAAATACCACGGTAACATAACTGCAAACAGTTCATTACTGATAACAGTACTGTACACCGATGGAAGGATGCTACATTCGATGACTACTGGTAACAAATATATCGATGTTCCAACGCGGTAGTCTATCTGCAGAAAGAGTTATATCTTATTTCTTCTTAATGAATTTTAATTAACATTCTGAAACCTTTATTTTATGGATTTACCCCCTTCCCCTCCCCTCCTCCCTGAGACTGAAACTGTTCTTGTAATTATCAATAAACAGAAGGAAAACAAATGGACGTATTGTGGAGTATGAGTTATTCGTCCTACTTGCAACTTGAACATTAAAGGAGCAAGCACTTGCATCTTTTTATCATGAACAATTTCCATTTACTTACATAAATATTCAGCTAGTTAATAATGAAAAGTAAAATTATTAACTTATGACTAGTATGTGTCGAAATTTGTTTGGTTCTCTTAGATAGGAAAAAACAAAGTTTAAAAAGTGTTGAAAAGGCTTAGTAGACATGAAATTTCTGTGAAACTACAGAACTAATTTATTATCTCCAATTCGTTTTCTTTTATTTATAGGAACCTCTGATCACTTACTAAAAAATTCGTTTCCATGCTTTAAAAATAAAAAGGCAAGAAATGGTTTTATGAACATTTCAATTTCCAAAGGCTTTTATAGAACGATGATAAGCTTTTTTATCAATAATACTATAGTTATTAAAGAAAGCAACATTTAAACAATAAAATAAATTTAGCACTGTTGTCATTTCAAGCAGTCATTTTTGCTCTATTTTTTGGTGCAGTCAAGATCTCATCTGTTATAAGAATTGCAAAGAGAGATGCACAAGAAATCATTACCACTATTATCGGAAATTTCCAGATTTTGATAGAAATACAGTTGATTAGATTTAAAAAGAATGATAAAACTCTTCGTAGCTAAAATTTCCATATCGTTTCAAACATGCCTGATAAGCCTAACACATATCTAACCAATGAAAATAAAACTTCCTGTTGGTTAATTCGTCTTCCATCCTTACAAATTCATCGCATACAAAGAAATGTTTCCCAAATTAATTTTATTTAATTTTTAGGAAACCCAAGGAAAATTTTTCAAAGATTTTTGTTAGATGCTGAAAGAAAGAACTACCGATAGATTTCAAGCACATCGCAGAATATAGGAAGATACACAACCCTCTTCTTGATTGCATGCACCAAAAGAATCCCAAAATGGTTAACAACCTCGCAGTTTCTTCGTCACAACTCTCTGCCGTATTTCTTAAAGAACAAAAATTCAATTCCACTATTTCTGATTGAACTTTGGGATTCGGATGTGAAGTCCTCGAACTACCAGGATGTAAAATTCAGTTTTTTCCAACGAAGACATTCTATACTAGAATGATCAAAGCAAAATATTAATTTGTTGTCCAAATTTTTATTCTTTTAGCAGATTTTACAGCACCATTTCCTTGTCTCACTTAATTTGAACAACAATTAAAATGATTGGGGATTCCCAGTGCAAAAAACAATAAATTTCAAGATTACATATTGAAAGGAAATCCGACCGCGTTTGCATTTTCATACTGAACCATGACGTTTTTAATCACCCAGGAGTGTTTAAAACCTCGAAACACAAAAAAAAAAACCTACCACAAAAATGAAATTTTTATGCTTCCTGCAGTTAATCAGAATGAATCCTCAAATGGTTTATGAAATGTCACCAGAACTAAGTGTGAAACTCATAGTTCAGCCAAAATAACCACCACCGAAAAGCGAACCACTCAGACAAGATTTTTCGTATTTAAGAACTATGGTGTCAATTACATGCATATGTCATTCCTTTGAATCAGAATCAATTCAAAAGAGCAATTGTAGACAGCATGGAAATGATTATATTTTAAAAGTAAAAGTCATGATAGGAAAATCGATAGCAGTTCCAACCCTGGAATATGGGGAAGTTGAAAACCAGCCTTTTCGTGGATTAAATTATCAAGTGGTAACAGCATTTATGAGTGAAATGGCAAAATACATCGCATTTTTTAGCTTTAGATTTGAATGATGTAAAATAAATTTTCCGAATCGCCTTCAGCAAGTCCTTTTCAGAGACTAATTCAGCTCGAAATATTCTGTAACATTACAGTGTAGTACACAAATATCGCTTTAAGGTTTAATGAGAGTGGATGAAATATCAAAAGAAAATTAGAAAACAGCAATGCAGGAGCAATTTCAACTCCATAGATTTATAAATTTCTGGGAGAATTCACGTATATTTATTTAACAAACTCTTGCAAGATATATATATGCAGACCGAGATGGAATTTATCTGATCTACAACGCGATGGAAATCTACTTACAGTAGAAATAGTTTACATCGGCCAGGAAATTCCGACTACTGTTAAGAATGAGAGACCTAGCCACTGATGTTCGACTACTCAAGTTTCTACTTTCTACTTTATTTCGTCACTGCTCCATTTGCTACGGCACGGGATTCAATCAAATCCCAGCTACAAAAGATGTACTTTGACATAAGTACATCAAAACCTCTGAAGTAAATCTGGTATCCGTTGAAGAACGTAATTTTTACAGAAAAAAAAAAAAAAAGATATATCATTTTTAAGCGTATACCTTCATTGCTCATTTTGGTCAAAACAATCATTATCAACAAACTACAACAGTAAGAAAATGACGAAATGCGGGAAATAAAACTAGGTTAGTACTCTAGCAACATCACTGACTTCTTTCAGGAAAAAGGAATCACGAACTATTTGCAAAACAAAACTAACTGCAAAAAAATGAAAACTTTAAACAAAGCAATAAAAGCATTACACAATAATTGGTCTCAAATCAAATAAAAAATTGAGGTACAAATGCAAAGGTATTCTTCATATTACACACATCTGCGTTTAATATACGCTGCATCAATAGTGAAAATTTTCAGACACCGTTATACCTAATTAGAAATGTATTGGCAACATCTACGTATTTTTGGCGGTGCAGTGTATAGTAAAGAAAATACCACAGCATTTAAGGTTGAAGATGAAACCAATGGAGTCTAACTTTCAGAAAAAATAAATAAACATTATTTTATAATCGCTTGTATAAATTAGCATAAAAATATATTTGCGTAGTTCAAATTTACAGAACCTGCCAGTTCTCTTCACTTATGGACTTAATAGAAGCTGCAAATTTCCCTCACCTCACTGATTGGAAAACGAAATACTCTTAAAAAATTTTGTTCATCTAAAAAGAATTATCCCTATAAGCAATCGACTTGAATGGCATTGCCTCAATAATTTTGTTCTAAACTATAGTAATCTGATAACACATTCAGCGGTTCAAAGACTTTTTTACTGTAAATTCAAAGACGCATCACGACCTAAACCGTCCACCATATGCCAATTTAATGAAGTAAATAGTCATTGGATAACAAACACAGTTGACCTGAAAAAGATGTACAAAATGTACATTTCGAAGATATCCAACACAGCAACAATTATCAGCTTCGCTGATGAATCAGACAACTAATTTATATTCCTCATTAACTAATACTAAACACATTCTATATACAATGCAAGTAAAATAATATAAATAACGGAGGCAGAATTATTCATCATCATCATCATCATCTCCTTGTGGCCGAATTGTGATTTCGCGTACGGTTGCATTTGCCATCGCACCAAGTAAAACCTTTAACAAAGTAGGAAAACCGAAAGTAATAATGATCCCGAATTGAGAATTTTTGAGGATTACTTGAACAAACATATGTGGGGATACTATTCTCAAAATATGATAATGAGATCTTCTTTTCATAGCTGTAGCTTGCAAATAGGCAACAAAGTGAAGTCTTACTTCCGGGCAAGAAACGAAAACGTAGTGGTCGTTTTCATAGGTACCGCAGAGTGATCGCACTTTTTCTTGTAACTGAAGATTTGTTGTGACCCAGATTGTGTAAACATTCGCTGGCGAACAAATCAAACACTCCTCAAGCATCGGTAAATCGGTTTCAGAGTCACCACACACCAATATTTTACCACAATTTAGTTTCAGTCCCATTTTCGATTTGATCAGACGAATTCCATGACCCTTATTAAAAATACGGCCAGAAATCTTTGCCTGAAACAGAGATCAAATGAAAAAAAAACTAAAACTTTGCAGCAAAACTCAATAAAGTTGACCAATAAAGTAGGTTAACTAAGACTGAATGTGTCAGCCAAAGTTGTTCTGCAGAAATAAGACTTCAAGAATCTTTAACAGTTGGCATGTGGATATTTGAATATGTATTAAAGTTCTTTTTAAAGAGCAATTTGCACTAATTTCATTTATCAATCATGCGAAATATACATGATGTAATCAATTAGAATAAAGGACCGACGGCAACAAAAAAATTTACCGTCGCACTACTGACTTCTGACAGTGCTACTTTCGTGAAAATCTTCAAATCGAATTCACCTTCTCGTAATGCTAAAGTTACAGCTGTAGGATCTACTTCGTTCACTATTTTACATACTGCTTGATATCTGGAAACACCATAGTAAAAAATTCATTTTATTTCTCATGAGTTTATATAATCCCCTTTCTATGAACGTTTAAAGCAAATCGTTTAAAACAAAACGTTTAAAGCTTTGTTAATTGACGGTTAACATGAGTCCATCAATTTATAAGCAGTTCTTAAAAGAAAGAAATTTAAAATACAAACAAAAGAGATGAGCGATGTTTAGGAACTGAATAGTTGACATCCTGCCGAGC